TGTCTGTCAGTAGCCATGTTGTGGGGGTGGCTCACGCAGAAGAACTAGAAGGACTTAAAACTAGAATATACAACTATGTACTGGGACTTTGGGGAGGAAAAAAAAAAGAAAATATTGAAGTCTTATCTGTTGGAAAAGCCAGAATCTTAGCTCTAGTCTAGCTCTGCCCCAGCTTACTCTGTGCCCTGCAATAAATCACGCCCTTTGAGGGACCTGTTTCCTTCTTTACACAATGAGAGGACTAGACAAGATGACCTCCGGGTCTTCCAACTCTGACCTTCAGTCTCTCATTCTCTTTAACCTTGTCACTCCACTTGACAGCCAGTTAAGAGCGTGAACTTTGAAGCCACACTGCTAGCATTTGAATCTTACCTTATGCCTGGTGGTGTGAACTTTGAACTCTCAGGAGGCTCAGTTTCCTCGTCCGTGAAATGGACAACAATAGGGTTCACTTCACTTTTTTTTTCCACTCCACTCAAGAAAGTATATCAGAATGCAACTGAGGGAGACCTGCCCTAATTTATAAAAATAAAAAGTACATCACTTGCACATTTCAGAACTTAGACTCCTATTGGTAATAAGATTCTTGTGTTACCCTCTACAACCGACAGGGAAATATTCTGCCACTGGGATTTGGTTGTGCCTTGGATCTGGTTCCCTTTCAGTTCCAGCTTGAGAAAGCTGAGGACCAGAGAGGCAAAACCACCGGCCCAGCCTCAGTCAGCAGACGTTTTTGAGTGCCTGCTGAATTTTCTGTGGGCGAGCTGGAAAGGGGAAGTTCTTTCTCACTCCTAGACCCTGCATCTGGCTCCGGGACCCATACAGAAAACATTACGGGTGGGAAAAGGCCTTGAATCAAGAGTTTTCCGATCCTCTTTCCTCTTATCCCGTCCATCTGATCTCCAGCCTCTTCTGCAGCTGCAGGAATGTGTTTTCATTGAAAACTGCTCTTGCCTTATCTCCCTTCTGAGAAAATTTGCTGCTTCTGAAAAGATGGATTCTCCCCACAAACTTAGTGTTGTGTAGCAGATTGTAGGTGCGGGATCAAGAAGACAAATCTAGGTAGTAAAATTGCTTCCTTTTGCTTTTCTGCAAACTCTTAGCTGAGAGAGGACATCGGAAGAAGACACTAGAACATTTCCCCTCCAGGCAACTGGGCCAGCATCCCCTTGGCTTGGGGATGAGAAATCCCCTGAATTAGCCAGTGTGAAGGGACATGACACCATCCCTGCTGGCAGCAGAGCTGCCTGTGCCAAAGCCGTGGGGTTCCCAGCCACTGTTCATTAATGCTGCCCACAGGCCGAGGGAGAAGTCTGTCTGCTCCGACGGGCAGAAGGTCCAGGTTCCAGGGCACTGGAGGAGATAATTGTCTTTATAGCCGGGGACATGCTTGGCAAGGAGGTCAAGTGACTTTATACACTCCAAAAAAGTCCAGGCGGAAAACGGTGATGAAACCATATTGTCCTTAACTCCTAGCAAGACAGACAAACGAAAGATATTTTAGAAGCAGCATGCTGAAGCAGAAAGAACAATGAGGGATCTGAGACCTGAGATCTTGCCAGTTATGAGTCTTGTGTTAGTTTATCTGGAAAAATTAGAAAAAATGATTCTTGCCCTGCATATTTCATAGGGCTGTTATGAGAATTAAATGAGATACCAGGTATAAAAGGGTTTTGAGAAATATATTGCACTTCTACATTTACGCATGCATGCATGCATTCATTCATTCATTCAAATGATAGGTACTGTGTTCACTAGGTGCCAGGCGTTGGGGACAGAGTGGTACTAGGTGGTAACTGCCCTCACATGCATATGGGGGAAGACAGGTGTGCCATTGCCATCTGAGCGGAGGAATGGTTTCTCAGGAGCGCCCTCCAGAGGCCAAGTCCCAGACCTCCATCTGCCAGTTTAGCTGGAAGTTCAATTTCTTTCCTCTGGTCTCTTCCTAAGTTTCCAGGTTGCTTCCTGGGGTCCAAATGGTCAGCCCAGTTTTCTCCAGACTTGCAGCCTGAACTGGAGCCCAGATGTGCTCCCTGGAGGCTATGGTGTGTCACAGCTGCCACTGAGATGCTAGCTTCAGAACGGGCTTCCACGCTGCCGAGCCACCTGGCCTGCTTACTGGGATGGGGAAACCCCAAATGGATCTTCAGCTTGCTGCTCTTGGCGCTGACAGCCGCTAGATCTCAGTCTCCAGAGAGAGTGCAGTTTCTACCCAGGCTGCTGCGATCCTCTCCAGTGTGAATAATAAAAACAGCTGACATTTGTGGAGTGATGTAGCGATGTATGGACTGGGTATTATTCTGAGCATGCTTTGTACAGTAACTCTAATCCTCAAAACAACTCTAAGAGGTAAGGATTAGGATTATCCCATTTTACAGATGAGGAAACCGAGGCGTGGAGAGGTTAAGTAACACTCCAAGTTCACAGCTGCAGGTGACAGAGCCAGGATTTGAACCAGAGCCGTTACCTCCAACGACCAAGCTCTACTGGAGAAGCTAAGGAGGAGAATTTTGCATGAGACACATCACACCAAAATAAGACATACAGATCTTTAGATTCAGGTTCAAGTCTGCCCTCAGGATGGCAAGGTCAGGAGTGCTCCCAGTGTCCGCCGTCCATGACTGTCTTTCGCTCTCCAAGACCTCACTCCTGGTCCAGTCTGCTTGGGCCCTCGGGGTGCCTTCCATTTAGGGCGGCTGCATCACCCTCCCGCACCATTAGCCGGGCCAGTTCGCCCTGACAGGGTTCCCCAACTTGACGTCTTGTTCTCCTTCTGCAAATCCGTCCTCTGAACTTGCAGCTCCTCCAGAACTACAGATCAACCGCTTCTCTTGCAGAAAACACAATTAAACCTCTTCCTCACCAGGCACCCAGCTGCGCACAAAAAATTAATCAGCTGCTTTTGAGATAAGACCTGCAAAGGCGAGACTGCAGCTGTCTCTGAAGGCATTCCTGGACTATCCTCTGGAAAGGGAGGCTGGGCTTGCTGGCGAGGTGAGCTCATCCCAGTGGATGTGTTGAGATCTACAGCTTCCCCACTAATGCTTTTTCCTCTCTCTCTTTTTCCCTCTTAAGATATTAAAGCATTAACTCTCCTCGTTCCTCGGTGTACATGGCAACTACTACTCTGTCTGAATAATTGCATTAGCTTTCCGTTATCAAGCCAGAACTCTCAGAATACCATCGAGGGGAAGAGAGAGGGGCTGTTTGGTGCTTATGTGAGTCAGAAAAGTTGAAAGGTGATGCCCTGGGCCAGAAAAGGCTTCACCATTCATTCAGAGTCACCTGGTCATTTTGGGTTTGCAAATGGCCCTTCTGTGCAACTGCCCCTCACACAGGACAGGAGCTGAGAGTGTGGCTGGCAGCGGTGGTCCTCAGTCCTGGCAGCACTGAAGATCACCTGGGGAGTGCTTAAAAGTACTGATGCCTGCCCCCCTCCTCCAGACCCACTTTAACCAGAATCCTGGGCAAGAGCTTGTTTTGAAGCTGCTCAGGGGCTTGAAATGGGCGGCTGGGGTGAGGACAGCTCTGCTACAGGGAGCAAGGCCTCCAAAAACCGAAATAAAAATCCTCTCAACTTAGAACTGTAAACGAGAGAGGACATGGAGCAAACAGAGCAGAGGATGCATGCATCCCTCCGTTTACTCACTCACCCAGTCAGCAAGTGTTTATCGAGAACCTACTACACACTAGGCGGGTCGAAGAGTCCCCCAGACTCGGCAGCCTGAGCACGTGCAAACCTCTCTGAGACTGAGGCCTCTGGGAGTCGTCCAATAAAGGAGCCTGGAGTGGTGGACAGGGAGGGACGGCAGGTAGATCTCTGTATGGTTCTAGAACCTCTCGCCCCATGTGAGCCATTTTGTTCTGTTTGCCAGACGTATTCAGCTACAAAACCCTTGCACTGAAAAGGATCTCCTTGCATTTTTCTGGTGGCCTTGAGCAAGGGAAAGACTGGACCCTACCCCAAAGCTGCTTGTCACCGTGGTCCCAGTGGGAGTCCGCCTGGCAACCTGTTTTCTTCTCTTATTTAAAAAATATACTTATATATATAATTGCTTTTCTTTTTTACTACAGAAGCAGTGCATTATTCACTATAGAAAACTTAGAAAACAAAAATTAATTTGAAAGTAACAAGTAATGATTATCCTCATAGTCTCTTAGCCCAGATATAACCTCCATTGAGAATATATATTTACATTTTCTACTCTATGTAGTTATCCCTTATTTTTAACCAAAATGAGATTATAGTGTACATTTGTTGTAATGCACTTTTTCATTTACTAAAGCATCATGATCATCTTTTCTACATGAACAAATGTTTTACTGCATCATTTAATGACTAGATAGTATTTCATTGTATGATGTACCATAACTTATTTGGTTAATACCCTGTTATTGGGCATTTAGTTTGCTTCCAATTAAAGACAATAAACACACACACGTCATTGTAAATAAATTCTTGCACACATTCATAATATTTTCTTTATGATGAAATTTCTAAAACTGAAATCACTGAGTCAAAAGATGAGCATATTTTTAAGGAAACTTTCTGTTTAGAATAGTTTTAGATTTACAGAAAATCTGCAAAGACAGTATGGAGAGTTCCTGTGTACCCCACATTCAGTTTCCCCTGTTGTTAAGATCTTACATTAGTATGATACATTTGTTCCAACTAATGAACCAATATCGATACATTATTATTAATTAAATTCCGTACTTTTTTCTGATTTCCTTAGTTTTTACCTAATGTCCTTTTCCTGCTCCAGGATCCTATCCAGGATACCATATTATGTTTAGTTATCACGTCTCCTTAGGCTCCTCTAGACTGTGACAGTTTCTCAGACTTTCCTTATTTCTGATGACCAGTTTTGAGAAGTACTGGCCAGGTATTCTGTAGAAGGTCCATCAATTTGGCTTTGTCTGATGTTTTTCTCAAGATTACATCAGGCTTTAAGGGCTTTTGGGAGGAAGATCACAGAAAGTACCACTCTCATCACATCATATCAAGGGTACATGCTCTCCACAAGTCTTATCCCTGTTGACGTTGACCTTGATCGCCTGGCTGAGGTCGTGTTTATCAGGTTTCTCCACTGTAGTGTTATTCCCCCACTTTCCATACTGTACTATTTGGAAGGAAGTTAGGCTACACAGCCCACATCTAAGGAGTAGGGAGCTATGCTCTCCGAGGGGGCAATATCTACATAAATTATTTGGAATTCTTCTGTATAGGAGATTTGTCTATTCTCTCTCATTTACTTATTTATTCATTCATTTGTTTATATCAGTATGGACTCATAGATATTTCTTTTATCCTTTGGATTATAATCCATTACTCCATTTTTATTTTTTCCTCAAATTGTTCCAGCTTCCGCCATCTTTTAGTTGGCCCCTGCGTCCCTTTGACATGTCCCCCATTGGTTTGTATCTTGAAGGCTTCCTTATTGTCTGGCTTGCAAGATGCTCTGGGCTCATCTTGTGTATTCCCTGCCCTAGCACTAGAAGAAGTCATTTCTCCAAGTTTCCCTGGTGCCTTTTACTGGAGAATGGGATTAGAAACCAAGATCTGGGTCTTGGTTATGCTCATTGCTACCAATGAGCTACCTTGCTGCTGTTGCTTCTAGGCTCTCCCTGCAGACCGAGCTTGGACATGTATGTGTACACACTAACCCATGTGTATAGACACATCTGTAATTATTTCTATGTTTATCTGTATCTATATTAGGCTCAAATGAGTTCATACTGATGTCTTCAATTCTAATCCAGTATCACATGATTCGTTCCAGTCTTCCTTCTCCTTGAAGACGGCTATATTTTAAAGGCTTTTGATTTATATTGCCATATTGCCTTCCACGAACTTTTTTTGTGGGGGAGGGGGGAGACAGGAGGATAAGAAGTACGCCCTGAACCTATTTGCTGCCAATCAGGTTTTAATGAAGTTGGTCGCGCACACACACAGGAGAGAATGACGCATCCTAGGATAACTTTTCTCATGCTATTTAAGGGACTTATAGTCCTTTCTGCTTGAAGAGATCAAAATCTGAAAGTACTTGTGTGCACAACTCACTCACTTTGAGAATCAGAGACCACTAACATCAGAGAAGAACTCTGGGCGGAAAGCTGTGGATATTTCTACATTTATTTCTCACTTTGTAGAGTCCTCTTTTGAGCTATGACTAAGATCTTTTGAATTGAACAGCTTCCAAACTGCTTTTAAGGCCCAGATAAAGAGTTAGTCTTTTATTCCCAACTTGTGGAGCTGGGACCTCACGGGGCCAACAATGGGCTCTTGACTCTGTAGGCAAGGGTCACAAACTCAGGTTCCTACAGAGGCAGGTGGGTTATGCATGAGGGAATGGAGGGAGTACAATGACAACTGGAAATAATATGGCCTGTTACAGGAACGTGGGCCCTTGTTGCCAGGTCCTCTGATTTTTTGGAAGAAGCCAGAAATCTAGATTTTTCTGTAAACCCCTGCAGTTTTTAAATGTTAGCTATGATTTCCAAAATGCTGTAAAAGTCAACCAAAATATGTCCTTGGGCAGGACATGACCTTCAGAACCCCAGTTTATACTCTCCTGTTGATAGAAACAGCATAACAACTCAATGATGTGGGGATCCATGACTATCTTTTTATATTAAAAAGAGGTCCCACATACTACAAAGTTTGCGTAACACTGGGTCTTTTTGTCTTGCAAAAACATTCACTTTTCTTTTTCTCCTGGGTCAATGAGTTTCCAGACAAGTTGGAATGTAGATTCTCTGAAGGTTGAGGGATTAACACTGGAAGGTAGCAAACCATCAGAGGCTGAACAACCTAAGTCAGTCAACTTCTCTGTGCAGTGTTGGGAGAAGTGTGATGCCCCACAGCCTGACATGGCCACAGAGAGTGTGCGTGCGGGCAGGGAAGGACTTCTCCCCGCCCCGCGAAGGAGTATCCCCGGTTCCCTGCGGTCTTCATTGCTTCCTTTGCTCTTCTGACTTATGACTCTTATTCAGGGCTCTGGGGATTGGTTTGAAGGCATTGCCCAAGGCAGGGAACAGGGCTGGGAGAATTATTATCCATCCCGCAGGATCAGGCCTCCAAATGAAAACCACATGTCCTTCCTTTCTCTTGGCATGCAGCCTATGTTCTTTCACCAAAGAGAGCACTATTAGTTGGCAAGAAAAAAGTTGAGACATTAATGACCATTTTCTTATAGTTTAAACAACCGTACATTCTTCTGGTTTTCTGTACTTCCCTAGATCTGCACGTCCTTTCTGCTCACCAAGATCCCTATGGTTGGGGTGTAGACCTGGGTTTGAAAGTCATTACCTGGGTGAGTTACTCCTCATGGGATAGTTCAGAGTATCTAGTGAGATGACAGAGAGAGGGATTCTAGAATAGAGCCTTGGACACTGTCAATTTCTAATCTCTCGCCGCTCTCCCAATGCCCAGAGTCCCTAGGGCCTCAGGCAACACGGAATGTGAGAGAAGCCACTCAGCCTTCCCCTTCATTCCTCATCACTTATCTTTCCACTTTCCTCCTCCAATCCATTTTTGGCATTGTCATCTGACTCATCTTTTGAAAACATCCATAAGGTCATGCTATCCTTCTGCTTAATATTCTCCAGTGGCTTCCTATGGCTCTTGAAAAATAAGCCTCCTTATCACAGCCCAAAACCTTGCTACTCAAAGTGTGGTCCTTGGACCAGGAGCATCTGCATCACCGGGGAACTTTTTAGAAATGCAGCTGCTGAACCCAACCTACTGAATCAGAATCTGCATTTTAACAAGATCCTATGGCGACTAGGATGCACATAAAAGTCTAAAAAACTGGAATTCCATGCTTTTCACCAGTGGTTCTCACCCTTGGTTGCACATTGACTCACCAAACACACCCAGGCTTGGGCCCCATCCCAGTGTGGTTGGGTTCCAGGCACTGATATTTTTTCTTTTTTTTTCTGAAGAACATTGGCCCTGAGCTGACATCTGTGCCAGTCTTCCTCTATTTTTATGTGGGACACTCCCACAGCATGGCCGCCGAGGAGTAGTGTAGGTCTGCGCCCGGGATCCAAACCGGGGCCACCACAGCGGAGCACCCCAACTTAGCCACTAGGCCACGGGGCTGGCCTCTGGGCACCAGTATTTTTTTAATAAGATCCCCAGGTGGATGTAAGGTGTGACTGGGGTAGAGACACTGCTTTGCCCCTTCTGTCCCTTGCTCGCCTCTCCAGCTTCATTTCCACTACCTTCCTCTCTCTCTCCTCTACTCCAGCCACACCAACCCTTTCCTCAGACTCTAGCAAATTCTTAGTCCCTCACCCTTGCATTCCTGCTGCTAGAAAGCTCCTCTCTGGTTGTCGTCTTCTCATCATTTAGGACTGTGCTCACATGGCACCTTCTCAGGGAACCTTCCCGACTGTCCCCACCGCCTCCAGATCCGTGTCCCCTTGCTCTGTTGGATTTCCTCACCATGCTCATTGCTCTCCGCGGTTAACAGTTTCTGTCTTTATTTGCCTGTGGAATGGCTGCTCTCCTTCATCAGGATTTCTGTCTCAGGAAGACAGAGACCTTGTGGGTTTTATTTAACAACAGAGCTGGGTTCACAGCAAACTAAGCATGTGCTTCGGGCAAGAACATGTGAGGGGAGTGAAGAGAGAGAAAAGCTTTTTAAAAATGAGATTTGATATTTTGAAAACTGACCAAAGTAGTCATCATGGAAAAAACTAGAATTTGTTGTACTGCCTTATGCATATTTTAATGAGAGTGTTTTTTTAAATTACACGTGGAAAAGGATAGCATCATCTCTTTAGTACTTAGATCTTTTAAATTTTTAAACTTTAAAAAACATTGAAGTGTAACATGCCTGCAGAGAAATGTATCCTAAGCATAAAACTCAATGAAATTTCATAAACTGTATGCACCTGTGTAACCAGCACCCAGCTCAAGATATGGTGCCTGATCCGCCTCGAGAAGCCTCTCGCATGCTCCTTCTGGTTACGACCAGCCCTGACTTTTAACAGCATAGACTGAGTTTTATGAAGGGTTTTGGTTTTTTTGTAAATAACACAATGGAAAAAAAGTGATTATCATAATACCTATTATATAGCAAGCACTTTAGATATGATAATATTACTTGGATAGTTGTATAACTTTTACTCAATACCTTATTTAAAAATGGAAGCTTTTTTTGTCTTCTATCTCCTCAATCTTTTTTTTAATGAATAAATGTGACATGTAACATTGTGTAAGTTTAAGATGTGCATGGTGTTACTTTGACACATTTATGTAGTATTGTAATCTGATTGCTGATTTTCGAAGGGTTTAATCCGACATCGTCATCTCTGTGGCCCAGTGACTAGAGCAGTGTCTGGCAAGTACCAGTCAATCAGTGCTTGTTGAATGAACTAATTGGTTAATTGATGAATTACTTCCCTCCAATCATCTCCGTGCACACCCTTTCTGGCGAATCCAGGGAGTGTGGCTCTCAGAGGCCGAACTGCCTAACTTGAACAAAAAAAGTCATGGGCTCAGAGCTGACCGCAGTCTCCTTTCGGATGCCAGGCAATTGAGGGCATGTTTGGCAGGTCCGGCTGGTATGAGCGTTTTGAAGGAACCACCGAGGCGTGCTTTCTCCGGTGCCCGCCCTGGGGTCCTTCATCCCGCGCACCATGCACTTCAGCAGCAGTGGGAATTAGTCCGTGGGGGGGCTTTTCTTCAAGTCACTGTGGCCACTGCCCTGTGGGTTTCTTTGAGTTTGATTGGGGCTTATGTTTAGCCCCATGGAAGCTCGGAGTTCCTATTCTTCCTTCTGGACTTTTCATTTTTTTCCCTCTGGCTGATGAAGCAGCCGTGCTGAGCAAGGTAAAAAAGCTGAATGGCAGCTTCAGAAGCAGAAAGGTACTAAACCAGTTTCCCGTGCGGCAGGAGCGTGAGGCAAAGGGAGGCGGGCACTGGCACTGACCCCAAAGACGGCGACCACCTGGCGGTCCGCGGGCTCTGTCTCACCACAGGCTATTAACCATTCCTTCTGGCCATTTTGCACCTCCCTCACCCCACACCTTTGCCTGTACGGCCAGGTACCACTGTGTCCTCAAACTTCAACTGTCCGCAACTGTGAGAAGCTTTCCTGGACCCAATCCTCCCCACCCCTAAATCCTGCTCCCACCCCCCACGAATTCCACAGTTTGCGTTCAGTGTGACATTCTGCGCTGTCTCAGGCGTAATAACGACCTCTCATAACACTGCCAAGCCTGTGCAGCCCCTCCCTCAGCCCTCACCCAGCCTTATGAAGCCCCTCCTAGCCTTGGCCCCATTTTACGGATGAGGAAAATGAGGCTCCCAGAGCTTGACCTACTTACCCAAGGTCTCTCAGCTAGTAAGTGGCAGAGCCAAGACTGGGACCCCGTCTGTTTGACCTCAGTGGTGGATGCTGGGGTGTGCCAGCCAGACCTCCCCTTGAGCCCCCATCCCCCCAGCTGCGGGGATGGCGCCTGCCGACACGGCCTGCTCACAGCTGAGCCCCTCTCTGGGCATTGCCCTCACCATAAGGAAACTGCTCCAGCCAAGGTCACACGCCCTTCCCAGAGGCATCCCACACCCAATGGCTGGTCAAGGTGGGGGTACAAAGGCCCCCCCTCCTTGCCTTCACTCAGGATGTCTCTAAAATGCCATCTCAGCTCAGAGTCCCTGTGGAACTCGCTGAGTCCACGTGAGAACCGCATTGCGGTTCCATTCTGCCTCCGTCCAGTCCTGCGTCCCTCACTGGCCCACCACATGGGGACTGTTTCCAAGAGCCCACCCCATAACCTCTGCAATGCAAATCTCCAGGAGCCTCTGTCCTGGGAACACAAACTAAGACAACACCCAAATCACACACTGAAATCCCAGGCTCTGCTGTGAACTGGACCCGCCGTCCTCTCCATCTGGTACCCAGCAAACTGAGAAAGGACAGAGCACCCAAGCCCCTCCATTTCCCTGTGCTCCTCTTGGAAGAACTGGAGGGCCCCACATATAACGAAATGCTTGTCGGGATGTGCAGCCAGGGAAGAACTCGTGCCTGGTGTGCCATGGGCGGGGGCCTCACCCCTGGAGGACTCCACTGCATCCTTTGCGTCTCTGACTCACGGCTCTACTTCTTGGGGTTGGTGGCATCTCCCAACCCGAGGGTGGGTTGCGGAGGCCACCATCTCTCCAGCAGCCTTGGGCATGTAATAGAAGGATCTCCCCTTGTTGGTCCAGTGCTGCGAGACCTGTGTTCTCTCATCTGCATCTGAGGGGGCAGTGGGCTTGCTGCCGTGTCTGCCTCCCCCACTCCGCTCTGAACTCTCGATGTGCGGGGCCAACACTTATCTGCAGCTGAAACTCCTGGCATAGGATGGGGCCTTTGACTTCGTGGACGCTCAGAATACATTGCTTGAATGAACAGATGAGCCAGGGACCCAGGCAGAAGGCCAGTAAAGGTGGAAATGACCACACGTGAGGGAGGTTAGATGGTGGGTCGCCCCCAGTGAACTCCCCATTGCGTCGATGATGGCAGTCTGCGCCCCCAGGGCGATGGTGCAGATCCCATCCTCGTTGCTTCACGCCTGGGCATGGCTGTTCCTGAAGCTCTCTGCTCTTCCGGTGCCTGCAGCCGCCAGGGCAGAGGCAGCACACCCATCCCCTCTTGTACTCGAGAATCTGCACAACCTGCACAACTTCTCTGGCTATGGCTTTGTATACTTCAGTTCCATCCGGTGTCTCTACAAGCCGTCCTTGTGGCTGGGCTGTGTCTTACCTGTGTCTGTCTTCCCGCGTCTTCTTGATCAGGCCTGAGCCCATTGTAAACACTTAATTGATTAATATCATCAACGGTAAAAGCTAGCAATTTT